AGATTTAATGGGTCATTACCCCTGAATAGGTATCCAAGCAAAAAATGTCGTTTGGTGATATTTCCTTTGATTTGAGCGCTGATATTTAGCCAATGTGTTAATTACTGCAAAAGACATAACTCTAATTTATACACGCTTTAAGTAAATGAGAATAATAAATACAATTTTAGATCCACGCGTTTTCTGTAGACTGGCAAATGAACAGTGGAATCCGAATTTAGAATACAAAGATGGAACAAATATTTTAGATATATACGTCCTTAGAAATACTCATTTTGGACTCGGTACGGAAACCCCGTGATTTCAAATGTACGGTCACCAAATCAGAATAACACGTGTGACGAACGTCGACATGAGGCGAGGTATTTCTCCTTCAGTAAGCAGTTGTCTGTCATAACGAATGTGTATTGGGACTAAGCAACAGCCAGCCAGCTATATGTTTGCTATAATGTGATTTTTCGTTGGATAATTTGTGGGCGAAAACACTCCCATATCCATCAACGCGTTCAAAATACAAAATATTGAACAGTTTTGCCACAATATTGATACATCTTTCCTTGAACTAAACGTTTATACTTTAAAAAATAATAAACAAAAAAAGGGTGAAAACTATGACTGAAAACCCCATGATTTTAAGAATATTTGTTGCTTTAATTCCCATATCCATGAACACTGCAAAATACAAAATGTTAATATTTCAAACAATTTTGCCACAATATTTATGCATCTTTAGTTTAACTAATTGCTGGACTAAATTAAACATTTGAATATATAAGTTTGTGTCATGTTATAGCTCCAATCACATGCGTAAGTATAAATCAGCATATGTCTACGTAACTGTTCCAGAATGTGGTGGAGCCTCCGCTTTCAGTTCTAGATTCTCACATAAGACTTCCTGCAAGATTTAATTTGGCCCAAAAGAACAGTACAAATGGACACTATAAAAGAATTACATTGTAGCTATCTTTAGTAATAGATATAGGAAGTTCATTTATTTTATGACTTGCTTTGGCAAAATGTATCATTAATGTATCTACATGCACGTTTCAGATTAAGCACATGTTAATGATGTTATTAAGGTTAATGGTAGTTATTATGTACAGTTTTATTCACAAATGTGAAAATTGCATTTGATAAAAATGTTCAAATTTATTTGAACCTACGAATATCGCCGACATCTACACAGCTGCTTATAACAGTATTATAGATTTCAAGATTAGTTAAACGGTACATATTAATTCCCTTATCGAGAAGATAAATATATTCATATACAAAAGTATAATTGGCGTAATTATATTTCTGACTTGTGTCATAACTCGTATTTCTTGTGCATAAGTACATGTTACTATATGTAAACGATGCAAGTGAAAAAATACCGCTGGCGATTGTGTATCAACATGTCTTGCGTTTTTAAAAGAGCCTGTTATCATAATTAAAAATACAAATTCAAATAATAAAATCTGGACAAAAATTAAATTCAAACTCGAAATGTAAAACAAAATAAATAATTTCAAAAATAAATATTAAGAACATTAAAATTCGTATTATATATACCTGCATGAAAAAGTAAATTTCATATCTTCAATACAAGGAAAACTAGAATATGTATGTCTTCTTTGATAGGCATTTAGAAGTTGGACTTCATAGTAAGGATAAGAATTTATGGATGAACAACTGGAAATAATACTAACTTTATCTCTATAAATCCCAATACTGTATAAGTTATTGAGGAAAGTGTATATTAATATTGCAAAGGGATGTAAACATTGGTCGAAGTGTGATCACAAATCAACAATATTTGAGAGGATAGTTGAACATAGCAATACCAAACTTGAGATGGCCATGCACTGCCAACTGGTGACACATTCTGCAGTACTCCGATAATCAGATGATCATCGCCATTCCTGGGGAACTCAGTCGTCATGTGAGAAAGTTCTGTTCCACCGAAAAATTGTTTCCTGTTTCACAAGCACTGACACCTAGCGGGCATTAACAGTACTACATATGCAATAACTGGTCTGTGCTGAAATGAAGCAAGATGGACGCAGTAACACAGCAGGACTTTATCCTCATTATCAAGCTGTATCTATAACCGAGCTGGGCCTGTATTGGGTAGCATTGACGCCTCAGAGATACCTGAAACTTACCTATGTTTGCATAACTTACTAATATCAATGCAATAGAAATTCCATTAATTTCATTAGGAAAACATCTAAAGCTCAAGCTTGTAGAATGTTGTTCTTTTTCTTTCCCTGTTAAAGTTTCAGGTTTTTAATCAGTCTCAGGTTTTTTAATTGACCTTTTACTTCGGTTTCCGTTATTCACCTCATGGCGTAAAGTGATTTGTCTCTGTACACCGGTGCGTGCATTAAGGGGACTTAGTTGATGCTTGGGATGTACATTGATGAATAATGATTGTAGATACGAGAACATACACACTCTTCTTTCAGGCTATCATCTCGACGTGATTCTTTGTTAAGAACATTCTCAAACTCTACTTTTGGAATACATGATTAGTCTTTGTTAAGAACATTCCCAAACTCTACCTTTGGAATACATGATTCTTTGTTAAAAACATTGAAAATTTCTCAAACTCTACTTTTGGAATACATTATGAAAGCAAGATACGCCTACTTAATGGTTATAGTATTATTTGATTGTGATGGGAATGATATTTGGAAAAGTATGAATATAATATTAAATCAGTAACCTCTCAAAGAAAATATCCGAGATTATTGAACTACTTACTGTCGAGAAGATAGTGTTTGATCGTGCTCAAGTAATCCCAGCCTCAAAACTGTTCACCTTTTCGCATTCACATGAATTCTCGCACCATTTCCGTGAAGTTGGTTGTTGACTGCATGGCTACGCAGAAATACGTGTATGGGAGATATGTTGTCATTCATTCGCATGACCTTGACACAGTTCAGGTATCGTCTTTACAACAAGACCAATGTATTTCCTCGTAAAACGAGAATTGCCAGAAAGTTCATTTCGTCTGAAATGGCATGCCAGGGCATGTCAGCCGTCTCTGGTCCATCCTGTAACGGGTATGTACTTTAGTCCGCTGCGGATATGCACCAATACACGTTTATATGGTTCTACAAGTACGTCTGCTGCACATCAATACATACATATATAGTTCTACACTTAGTCTGCTACACATCAATACGCGAATATAAGGTTCTACACTTTAGTCTGCTGCACATCAATACACGTAGAAATGGTTCTACACTTTAGTCTGCTACACATCAATACAGGTATATATGGTTCTACACTTTAGTCTGCTACACATCAATACACGTATATATGGTTCTACACTTTAGTCTGCTACACATCAATACACGTATATATGGTTCTACACTTTAGTCTGCTATACATCAATACACGTATATATGGTTCTACACTTTAGTCTGCTGCACATCAACACACGTAGAAATGGTTCTACACTTTAGTCTGCTACACATCAATACACATAGAAATGGTTCTACACTTTAGTCTGCTACACATCAATACACGTATATATGGTTCTACACTTTAGTCTGCTACACATCAATACACGTATATATGATTCTACACTTTAGTCAGCTACACATCAATACACGTATATGTGGTTCTACACTTTAGTCTGCTACACATCAATACACGTATATATGGTTCTACACTTTAGTCTGCTACACATCAATACACGTATATATGGTTCTACACTTTAGTCTGCTGCACATCGATACACGTATATATGGTTCTACACTTTAGTCTACTACACATCAATACACGTATATATGGTTCTACACTTTAGTCTGCTGCACATCGATACACGTATATATGGTTCTACACTTTAGTCTACTACACATCAATACACGTATATATGGTTCTACACTTTAGTCTGCTGCACATCAATACACGTATATATGGTTCTACACTTTAGTCTACTACACATCAATACGCGTATATATGGTTCTACACTTAAGTCTGCTACACATCAATACACGTATATATAGTTCTACACTTTAGTCTTCTAGATAACAATACACGTATATATGGTTCTACACTTTAGTCTGCTACACATCAATACACGTATATATGGTTCTACACTTTAGTCTGCTACACATCAATACTCGTATATATGGTTCTACACTTTAGTCAGCTACACATCAATACACGTATATATGGTTCTACACTTTAGTCTGCTACACATCAATACACGTATATATGGTTCTACACTTTAGTCTGCTTCACATCAATACACGTATATATGGTTCTACACTTTAGTCTGCTGCACATCGATACACGTATATATGGTTCTACACTTTAGTCTACTACACATCAATACACGTATATATGGTTCTACAGTTTAGTCTGCTACACATCAATACACGTATATATGGTTCTAAACTTAGTCAGCTGCACATCAATACACGTTTATATGGTTCTACACTTTAGTCTTCTAGATATCAATACGCGTATATATGGTTCTACACTTTAGTCTGCTGCATATCAATACACGTATATATGGTTCTACACTAGTCTGCTACACATCAATACGCGTATATATGGTTCTACATTTTAGTCTGCTACACATCAATACACGTATATATGGTTCTGATTATTAATTATGTGCAATGTATTTAATCCTCTCTGTATTTTAGGAAAGGTGTGGTTACACGGAAATGCATGTATTTCAATTCTCGTCAATTTTCGTTTCCTGTTTCCTGGAATTATCGAATTATTGAAAATTGTTTAAACTATAGGTTGAATAGCTGCCTGAAGTGAGATAAATTCTCGGTAATGAGTTTGCCTTCGGTTATGGATGTGTTATATAAACAAATCATCTATCATGAGCAGGTTGCGCTTTGTTATCATTTCCACTTTCAGTTTTTTACCCTTCTTGGAAACTCATACATACCAACTAGTAGCAACATACTTGTTAATGCGCAACGGTCAACAGTCACCTAGTCAGAACTGTATTATTTACTTTGCCTCTAATTTTGTATTTCTAGGAAGAATGCCACACATCATGGACGCTATGAAATCCAGGCATTCGGGTCACTGAGGACGCGGACGAACCTGAAATAGACTTACTCCATGTATCGAAATGATGAAATTCAATACACTGCCAAATGTTGACATTATGTTGTCAATGTATTTATATTGAAATAGTCGGTTCCCGATGTGCTTACCTAAACTTAGCCGCCATTATCGATACCAAGGGCAGTTTAGGTAATCATGGGGGCATGGGCGTATATATACTGAGTCAAATTTAAAACTTCATATTTTTAAAAGTAATCCCATATATGATATACAAAGGACAAATGTATCAGAGAAGGTAATTTTTAATCATTAATGTCCAAAGAAGGATTTTAATTAACGGTGGTAGCCATAATTTGTTCCAAGCACCTACGGTATTCGGTAATACCATCAACAGTTTAAATCATAAGTCCCAAGCACGAGAATCTGATGGCACACAAGTTCAGTAGCGTGTATGGCCACCATGTGCGTTGACAACTGCCACACAACGCCTCTGCATTGACCTTGTGATGCTTGTGAACACATGATTGGGAAGACGACGCTATTGTTGCTGCAAAATGGTGCCAAGATCTTGCAAATTCTGTGGTTGGTTCTCGAGAGTGCGCAGACTTCTGCCAAGAGCATCCCAGACGTGTTCGATGGGATTGTGGTCGGGAGGCCTTGACGGCCATTCCATGACGTTGACTCCCGCATTCTGAAGGAAATTCCTTGTCAAAATTGCTGTGTGGGGCCTGGCATTGTCGTGTTGGAAGATCAAACACGGTCCATGTGCTGCCATAAAAGGCAGAAGTTCTGGTGCCAGTACCTGGTCGCGGTAAGCAGCAGCGTTGAGGTTGCCACGGATGACATGAAGCCTGGAACGTGCATTGCCACAGAAAGCACCCCAAACCATGACACTTCCGCCTCGAAATCTGCCAACTTCCTGTACACAACACTGGGCGTAACGTTCATGACGGCGCCTCCACACCCTCGCCCTACCATCAGCAAATCGAAGATTAAATCGGGATTCATCACTGAAGACGACTTGATTCCAATTCCTCTGAGTCCATCGTAAGTGTCGCTGTGCCCACAATTGACGTTGACGTCTGTGTAATTGAGTCAGTATCGGCCCGCAGTATGGCCGTCATGCTTGAAGGTGAGTAGTTCTCAGACGGTTTCGAACAGTTTGCGCACTCAGTCTACCCCTAAACAGTTCATTTCTGGTTGATGTAGCCGTCAAAAATCGGTTACGGAGGTGACGTAAGACAATCTGACGATACTCTGCATGTGACGTCACACGTGGTCGACCTGGCCGAGGGCGATCAGCGGTGGTAACCGTTTGCTGTAGTCGCGTCTGTAAATCATAAACAGTCCGTCGACTACAACCCATCGTCCTTGCGACTTCAGCTACGGACGTTCCCGTCTGCAACATGCCGATGGCACGTTCACGTTGCACATTTGAAAGGCGTGGCATGACAAATGGCCGTAAAGACTTTTGTTTTCTTGTGTTTTTCTTTTTTTGTTAATGACTGCTAACAAGTATGGCTGAAAACACGTGCGGTATTATGGCCACGTGACCAGTTGCAAGTGAAAACCACTTTTGCCACTATAGTGCTGTGCACCTGATTTTGATCGATTCACCTGCACAAAAACGGGTGTTATCTGAAGACAATACGTGGCCATTACTGTTTAAATACACATTCTACCATGACATTGATGAATGCTTGATTCTGATTGGTTAAAAAGAGGTTTCCTTTTTGCTACGGAAACCCCTTTCAAATACATTAAGCCTTTTCACACAAAAAAACGTGCGTATGAATACATAGATAGCCTACATATCGATTCACAGAAAATGGCTGCCGATCGATCACCCCAATATGAACTGTAAAACATATCTATATTTCCTCTAATACACGCTGGGTCTCTAATACCAGACAGGTCTCTAATTCACGCCGAGTCAAGGGCTCTCGCGAAATTAATAGACGGCGTATAGTGGCAAATAGAGGAAATACGGTAGTTTGATATCGGATGTTTGGGGCGTTCTAGGCCGCAACCCTGACTGCTTCCATGATGACATTAAAAGATTTAACGAAGGCATATCTTTTGCATACAAATGAAATGTTTATGAAACTGTTAGAGAAATGTTCTATGGTGACCAGAATCGGAACAATTTAAGCTATTTCCTCATTGAAACAACCGACAATGAAAGTAAAATATAACATTATAAAAATTGTTTGAAAAAACAACATCACATCAGCAGGGATAGTTAGTCAACGTGTTAATGTTGAACAGCATCACACTGTGCATCAGCACTGGGTTGTCTTCTGGTTTCCTGCAATTCTTTAACAGCACTGTTACTGTTAACAATTTCTTTGGCAACCATATCTGAAAATGCAGTGCAGATACAGTGACAACCGGGACACGTTAGGACGGTTCTCAATTCAGGGTGGGGAGGTATAATTCAAAGATTCACACATTCAAAATAAGTGAAAGAGTGATATCTAATAAATTTTGTTGAGAAAATAATAATTGTTCATTTTTTTGGTAACTTTTTCTGAAACCCACGAACAGGTAATTTCATTATTGAATAACCGACAATGAAAGTGAAATATAACATAATAAAATGTGTTTGAAGACATTTTATTCATGACAACATGGTGTGCACAAACCTTTTTCTGATCGATATCCATTACCATCTCCGTCAACCACCACCGTTAGAATTTGGCAGGAGGGGATTTGAAAGTGCATCAGAAAACACTCCCTTTCGAAAGTCCACGAAAACAATGTCCCAACTGAAGTGACAGCTTATCAAACTTGATGAAATTCATTTCAGAACACGCACAATTATGAAAATTATACACGACCTACTATTTCTGGACCAGAAATGTCTAGTGAGTGAGTATGGTTTTACGCCGCTTTTAGCAATATTCAAGCAATATCACGGCGGGGGACACCAGAAATGGGCTTCACACATTGTACCCATGTCGGGAATCGAACCCGGGTCTTCGGCGTGACAAGCCAACGCTTTAACTACTAGGCTACCCGACCGCCCTCCAGAAATGTCTAAGTTCTGTCACTATTTGGCTTTGGATCCGTGAAATCTTGAAATTGACAGGTCACACCATGCAGATTCCTCGTTTCAAAATATCCGGCTCGTCTGCAGCCTAAACAGCGGCTGTTCAGTCATACTCAGTTCCATTGGTAATCATATGGATGTACCAGCAGGCTCGATCAATCCCAGTAAATCTACAGGTAAATGTTGAACCACATTATAGATCGGGGTTGTCATCTTGCTTCTTTTAACTAGATCAAGTTAATGTAAACACATGATTATCAGCCATTGACAGCTGTGAGGTGTGAGTAACCGTGATTTAGGTCAAGTTCTGCCACATCCAAGTTCGGGGTGGAGAGGCATTTACTTTGATGTTATTATTGTTTACTGGGGGTAATTGCTATCTAACTAATAACTCTTAGACATGTTAAATGTTTATCAGAATGTTAATTCATAAAGTTTGCTGTAGAAATATATTCGTTTAGCATTTTAAAACCTTTTTCTATTACCCGTCACCCCTACAATAGAAATGATGGCATGTTCGATTTCCAAGAAATGACCTCTCTCACAAATTTCCGAGAAACGACAGCCAGTCCACAGTGTTCAATAGTGTGCAACAGTTTGAAAGAAATTAAAACATCTCTCTTTGGATTAAGTTAGGAGTGTTATTTGTCAACTTCGTTTGAAAAACTATGTGTTTTGAACACTTATTATGAACTACTCACGACTTTGGTGTTTTTTAATCTTGAACTTTAGTTAGCTAAAGCGCTCGGTTCAAAATTATAATAAAGAGGTATCTATTCTACAGTGGGACTAAATCAAATTTCAAAACACAGTAGGTTTAAAAATAAGGGCCCACAATGATAACTGGTCAAAATGTTAAAATTTTAGGATTGTGAAGTTTTTAATTTGGTTCAGTATATATACGCATGTACTATACACGTAAATGCTTTCACAAACGAGTATAGTTACGCATGTTCTATACACGTAAATGCTTTCACAAACATGTGTATATTTACGCATGTTCTATACACGTAAATGCTTTCACAAACATGTGTATATTTACGCATGTTCTAAACACGTAAATGCTTTCACAAACATGTGTATATTTACGCATGTTCTATACACGTAAATGCTTTCACAAACATATGTATATTTACGCATGTTCTATACACGTAAATGCTTTCACAAACATGTGTATATTTACGCATGTTCTGTACACGTAAATGCTTTCACAAACATGTGTATATTTACGCATGTTCTGTACACGTAAATGCTTTCACAAACATGTGTATATTTACGCATGTTCTGTACACGTAAATGCTTTCACAAACATATGTATATTTACGCATGTTCTATACACGTAAATGCTTTCACAAACATGTGTATATTTACGCATGTTCTATACACGTAAATGCTTTCACAAACATGTGTATATTTACGCATGTTCTGTACACGTAAATGCTTTCACAAACATGTGTATATTTACGCATGTTCTATACACGTAAATGCTTTCACAAACGAGTATATTTACGCATGTTCTGTACACGTAAATGCTTTCACAAACATGTGACATACGCATGTTCTTTACACGTAAATGCTTTCACAAACATGTGTATATTTACGCATGTTCTATACACGTAAATGCTTTCACAAACATATATATACTAATACATGTTCTTTTACGTAAATGGTTTCACAACCATGTATATACTACGTTCTACATTGTATTTACGTAATTGCTTTTACAAACGTATATATTCACGCATGTTCTATACACGTAAATACTTTCACAAACATGTATATACTCATGCATGTTCTGTTACGTAAATGCTTTCACAAACGTGTAGACACCCTCATGTTCTATATACGTACATATGCTTCAACATATAACAGACATACGCATGTTCTTCGTAAATGCTTTTACACATTTGACTGTGTTTGTTTGTTGTTTACGCCGCACTCAACAATATTCCAGCTATATGACTGCGGTCTGAAAAATGATCGAGTCTGGACCAGACAATCTAGTGATTGACATCATGAGCATCGATCAACGCAATTG